TGTGAGTGGTGGAGATCGTGTAAACTGATATATTTCTCTCTCTCTCTCTCTCTCTCTCTCTCTCTCCTTGTACCCACCTCTATCTATCTATCTGTCTACGTATCTAAACATGTATGTAAAGGTACACATATAATGACAGTTATGCATATAGGTACAGTTACATCTTATATATATATATTATATATATATGTCGTAAGAAGTGTCGTCGATGATATGACGAACACCCCCGACTGTCGGCTTCCGAGGAGAGGATCCATGCTGGCCAGGGCTGGGCCGGCAACAAGCGTGTGGCTTGGACCGGACTTCATTTTAGCGTTTAGGCCTTAGGGTTTAGTAAGTTTTAGCAGAGGTTGGACCGGCAAGGGATGGCCAGGTGCTAAGGAAACAGGAAGTGCTTGTGATAAGTTCCCGTTGCGCGGATCGGTTGCTGCTTACGACGATGTTTCTCGATCTTTGTAGGTTTAGTGCTTTGTCGGGTTTTCGACGTATCTCGGGGAGGCTACACGGACAGGGGCTTCCACGACTGAGCTTGCCAACAAGCCTTGAGTCGTTGAGGATCGGCAACGCCGCGCCTGGGCAAAGCATGCCCCGCTCTCAGATGACTTGGGCTGCAACCAGCTTCCGAGCCTCTCACCCCTCCTCCTCTGTCTGGTTCTCTATTTTTTCATCGCGCAGGAAGGCACTGGGCTTTTCAACTTTTGGAGACGCCACAAGCGCAGACCGTCGGACGGCAAGGACCTGCTAACATGGCTAGCATCAGCTGCTCGGTGCGATTTTCCCTTGGGCCGCTGAAGATTCCACCTCGGGGGTACACGAAGATACTCGTTGCGGCACGGCTGCAAGATGATTTGAATCGCTTGAAGAAATGTGGTCAGGAGGCGAGGGCCAAGCTGATGTCCGACCCTTCAGCTGCACTCTCAGCAAGGAAAGCTGCACACTGCCCACTGCAACACCAGAGTGCGTGTCGGGTCGTCGCCGATGTCCAGGTTGAGAACTTCCTCCGCCTGGCTGATGAACCAGAGCCTGGATTCTGGTATCTTCCAGCAGCCACGAGCGCACCGAAGCCGGCAGCTTCCCGTCTCTCGTTCAGCTGGATTCTTCGCGACTATTTGAGCGTGGGATCACTGCGTCCGACCGAAACTTTCCCAAATTAGTCCGAAGACAAATCTCAGGCCGCCAGGGTTCGTCCACCTGCACTGCGGCCAATATGCAGGAGGCTTAGGCGAGCTTGTGAAAGAGAGAGCGTGCCCGCTTAGATTCTCCGAAGATGCAGTCCGTTGGCCGTTGGCAGATGCAGTCCAAGAAGCGCATTCCGTCCTTTCCAAGGCCAGGCCCCGTCGGTGGAGAACCTGCTCCGCTTGCGTGAGGCTCGCCAAGTAGCCACGCTTCCTTCAGGTAGCGGATTCTACCTTCATAGGTGTGCATGTATGGGGAGCTGTTTTGTTCATAAAATTCTTGAGTTGCGTTGCACCATGGGAGTTGTCATTGCGCCATGGTTCGGGAGTAAGAACCAGATTTATCAGAGACAGGCGCGCGATTTATCAAACGAAATGCCCGTTAATTATCAAGAACATGCGCGGGAATCATCATTCACATGTGCAGGTTTGTGTAGGGTTGAGGGTATAGGCTTGAGGGAATCCGTGGCAAGTGTCTGAAAATCTCTTGTTGTCGATAAATCCGGCGCAAGTGCTTGATAAAACCGTTCCATGTGCTGAACCATGGTGCTTGAAAAACCATCACCCTGCATGTATGTACGTATGTATATGTATGTATGTATGTACGTATCCTGTCATCTATCTGTCTGCCGGTGTCTCTTCTCTCGTGGTGTCTGTCTGTCTGTCTCTCTCTCTCTCTCTCTCTCTCTCCGTGCTCCGTCTTTCTCTCCCAGTCCCTAATGCCATCTGAAAGTGATCCGGATTGTGTTTGGCCCGTGGTAGCAAGGCTGAGTCACGGATTGCGCACTCCCGGCAGGCCGACGAAGTCGGAACCCCACGCAGTCCTGGAGAAGTGGACTCCCGGCAACATGGGCACAAGGGGAGAGAGCGTAAGCCAGGCTTGGACGTGCTTTAGCTGGTCACTCGACTCGAGGCGAGCTTGCCAACAGAATTTTTCTTTCTCGCAAGCGATCAAAATTCATCAGGCAAAGGGTGGGACGGAAGGGCCCGGACAGCAGGGGTCGAGAGTTGCGGTGCTCCGGAGGTCAGCGCATTTGGTGGCCCATGCACTCACGCGCTAGAATCAGCCACGTTGGTATCTGAGGATGTACAATGTTTGAAGCATCTGGAGCTCTGCTCATGGAAGCTTGACTGCGGAGTGTGGAGTTGGTACCATCTGGTGAGTTTATCGCCTGCTAGTCATAGCTCGCCTACTGTCTGGTCTTAAGGTTTGCGGTGTCTGGAGCTGAGGTTTTCAATCTTGTCCGCAGGGAAGAGGGTGATTTGCAAAGACGTTCGCCTCATTGGCCGCCGCATGTCAGCATGATGGAAGAACGTGACAACCAAAATGGTGCCCGACCCAATATAGCCAGAGTTCATGCGAAGGGAACCTTACAAAGCCCAACGTCCGGCCGGCCAGTTTGGGATTGCTTAAAGCCCGAGGCGGCAACATAGAGCAGTGGATCCTCTCCTATTTCTTCGATGGAGCCGATTCTGCTGCGGAGCTCTCCGATCCTGAAGTCGTGGAACTAGACGCGACTTGTCTTCTGATTCGCATGTAACTCGCCGGAGAGCCCACACAACCTTTTCGCCTTAGCCTGAGTGCTGCGATGAGAACGTATGCGCAGTGCTGTTGGCTGTTCAGTGTCAACAAGGATAGAGTCTCCAAGTGGTGGTTCCTGAAATTGAGGGGTACTGGATGGTACTGGTGCCCAGTTTAGGGGTCCATGTGGTACAGATCCTGCCATGGGTGCAGGCTAGCGCCATCTAGCCCCCCCCCCCCCACCCCCCCATCCCCCCGGCATTTCTCGAGTACTCCGTATGGTCGTATGTCGAGGAGCTGGTCCAGGCAGTCGCATCTTGGGCCGCTCTCCCTTTGAGCGACATGCCCAATTGGCCCGGAAAGAACGAAGGCTGCCTCTTTGCACGAGTTCTGGTAGCAACTCACTCTTTCTACGATTCTACACTGAAGTCTAAGCCTAAGCGGTTTGAGACTCAAGTGGAGCAGAAGAGCATAGTAGCTTCAGGAGGCTGTGTCAAGGGGTGCCACTAGACTAGACACTTCTTGACAGCATGCCAGGCCTAAAATGCTTCCGCCTGAGGAATGATCCGTGCCTACCTGAGACGGACATTGAACTGCACCATATTTCACACGATTGGTGCGAGAGCATGTCAAATTTAACATAGCGCTTCCCTTTGCCTTGGGCCGCTCAGATTCCCAGCAGTGCATCGTCCACTGCTGGCATATGTGAACACTGCCCTGGTGGCACCGGCGCTGGGTCACCAGGCGAGTGTTTTCCATCAGCTCGGGATCCGGCGCACGTTCTCAGTGCCCTTCTTGCCTCTGAGGCACTGAGCCTCTTGGGCTTCCACCCCTACCGGTCAGGAAGCACGGAGCCGCTTGTCTGCAAAGGACACCCGCCCTTCACGCCCCTTCTCATGACCAGCCCCGAAGGTACTGGCTGCGACCTGCGTGCTGCGTGCAGAAGGATTTGGCGAGCACGGGCGTCGGCCGGCCGCGTCTGCTGGAGCTTCTCGGACGGCACCCCTCACCCTGCGTGTCACTGCGTAGCTCACTGCGTAGCTTGACCTGACATCCCTTCTCCTCCCCTCTGAGGTGTGGCAAGGCTCTGGTCTTCTGCCACGGAGTTGGAGTGGGACCTGCAATGTGGCCCCAAGTGTGTCCAGCTGTAGCCTCAGGAACTGAACAGCATCCCAGGTGCCTCACCTTCTTGCAGAGGCTCACGAAGACCTTGGGCCAGGACGGGAAGTTCTTTCACGGCCATTGTTTGGCTTTTGGTTGTGGCAGAGCCTCCACGATTCCTCCGCGCCTCCGGCTCACTGACGTCCTCGGACTAAGAATTCTATGTTAGTAAGGCTTGGCGACTCCAAGACGTAGATAGCCAGCCGTTTACAGACGCAGGACCATCCAATCTTCCTGGTCGACACCGCAGGCATCTCCATGAGGTTTTCGGACGACGTCCCAGGGGCCCACGAGGAGCGCTCGGCAGACTTTGAGCGAGAGGAGAGCAGTCTGAGAGCTCTGGTTCAGGTAGCTGCGAACATCCGGAACATGCTCCAGGCCAGCTTGGAGGATGCAGTCCTGAAGCTTAAGAAAAGTGGGCAATGTTGGGCAAAGGTGCCCGGACAGGCCTGGACGGACAGAGTCACCCAAGCCAGAACAGAAGCCACAAGAGAGTTGAAGAACAGTTGCAACGAAGCTGGCAAAGATGCCTACCTGATCCTTCCCATAAAAAACCCAACCGATCTGAGCACGTTAGCCGTGGCTGCAGCTTCTGATTGTCATTTTCTATTTAATTTTGTGTTTTGTTCGTGCTTTCCGGCTGCTTGCAGTTCTTGCAAACCCACTCTGCCCACAGACCGTCCACCTCTAAACGACCAAAGAGTCCAGTCCCTGACATCGGCTTCTGTTGACTTCTTCACATTGGGGTCATTGGCACGGCTTTCTCGTGCAGAGCGAACGAAGCCCGAAAGACGCCAACTCTGCACCAGTTGTCCGTGTGGAGGTCTGGGGCCTGCAGGAGGCTCACTTCATAGGGCACTCCTTTGGGGCCTTCGTGGTGGCCTGGGTCCTGCGCTATGCGCACAGCTGCGTGGCAAGGCATGCGGTGCGAGGGAGCTTGAGAGCGGTTCAGAGCAGCATCGGGCGACGGAGTAGGTTTAACCCGTCAGCAGAGGACCACGCTCATCGACCCCGTTTGCTTCTTGCTGCTCAAGGTGCTCGTTCAAGGCCATCAGGGGGTGCAGTGCATCATGCTTTGGGTAAAGAGGATAGAGATCCAAGTGATGCAGCCGGAGTGAGCCATGAACGTATCGAGTACATCTGGTGCAAACCAGTGCGCAGGCCACGAGCTTCAGCAGGTTCGACATGACACCGGCATGGACCCGTTCCTTCGATCAAATTTCTGCTCGTGGAGCATGACAACTCCAGCAGCCAACGCAGAGTATGGACGATAACTCCGACATGTGCGGTTAAGACATGCTTGCAAGGATGGAGATTGTGCTGAAATACTTCGTTATGACAGAGCTGTTCATTTGCAACTTTGTATGCCGCTGCTTCTTCTGGGAAGAGTCGCATCTGGACTCTAACCTGCATCGAGTGCCGTAATTCATGACATGAAGATGGCGCTGTGCTTGCGCTTGCAGATCATTGTGACCGTGGAGTTTCTACTGCAGCTGAGGACATGCAGGACTTGGAAGGCGCAAGAAGACGTACTGCTTGCAATGCACAGCTGAATTCTGCTTCCCGGAATCAGCCCTTGCTGTGGAGCTGGTGCGGCAGGCACTGCAGCCCTCATCGTGCTCGAGTCTGAAGATCTTGTTGTCCCGACCTACTCCGTGCGAAGCCTCGTCTATGCAGAGCAGCGGCGCAGGCCAGAGGGCCCACCATCGTGAGCTGTCCCGAGAACCCTCTTCGTCGATTATGCACAGGGCCAAGTTGACGGAGTCGGCGCGACCTCAGGCAGGAAATCTGATGCGGGCACACATGTGACGTGCAAAGCATCGATTTGGATTCGAAGCTAAGGCCCAGTTAGAGCTGCACTGGATCGAGGACCAACCGCATGCAGGCGACGCTCACTTGTCGTCTCTGACTGCAGCTGATACGGTTTTGCAATGCTTTGCGGTCTGAACTGGAAGGCTTTCTGCTGGATGCAGTGGCCAATGAGGAAGTATGTGAGCAGCTCCAGGCATTCCACGAATCGTGACGGTGAGGCATTTGTGTATCCTCGCCAGTGTTTGAAACTTCCGGCGATGTCTCCAAGGTCAGGCTTGCACCTGTCTTACTTGTGACTTGGGTGTGTTGCACGGTTTTCTTTTCGACTGAGACATCTCCGTTCTCTTATGGGAATGCAATGGTTTTACTTGCCCAAAGCGGCATACAACATTGCAGTTGTTAATGGTCTAGGGATGCTGCCAACTGCCTGTCCGCCCTTAGGCTCCACACGGATTCTTCTGAGCTTAGGCTGGCCTCGAAGCATTCCGCACAGAAGTAACAGCAAAGGTGACATCATCGGACAGGCAAGCCCAGCACAGCTGCCCTGACATCGTGGCCGGTTCTGCCACGAGCACGCAATGTATCGCTGCTGGGGCATTGTACAGATCTGACCAGTGCCTTCAGCCGTATCCAGGGTGAAACAACAGCGCCACATCCTGAAGCGCATCTACAGCAGCACCTTCTTCTACATCGTTTTTAAGCCAGTTCTTCCAACCTTTCGCGATAGACTTACAGGATGCGAACTGCACAATCAGCACGTAGGAAGTCATGCAATGTACCTACGGCACCACTGCAACAGTCCATGGGTCATAGCCCTGTGAAGCTAGAGGCCAAAATCAGTTTACGTGCACTGGCGAGCGGGTGCTAGCCATGAAATGAAAGCTGCTTACAAAACACAGGGTTGCTTTGTGCGGCTGCCATCTCGCACTTCTTCGAATCGGAGGGCATGTTACGGAAACCCAAGAAGATCACCAAAATGCCCAAGTTCCTAAAACCAGACAGTCTCGGCCTTGTTCTACATCTTAAGAAGCTTTGGAAAAGGAAGTCTGGAGTTTTGATCTTAGGAGTGCTTAGACGTTCGGGAGCATCCCCCAGCCCCACAGCACTGTCGCCACCGTTAGCCGTAGCTGAGTGCATGAGCGCAAGTCTCGCTAGCAAGACCTTCGCGCATTGGGTCATGGGCCGGCGCCGCGACCGAGGCGCAGATTGGGTGAGGAATTTCCCTTTGCTCGCGCTGTCACACTCACTACACAATGGTGACTCGCATAAGTGTTCGCTTGTGGTCGTCTTGATATGACCACGATCACGGCTGCTGTTTGCGCAAGTCATGCCACAATCGTCTTGGAGCGGCCAGAGCGGCTGCAACAACCATGGATAACGCCACCACCACCACCAAGAAGCAGAAGAGGAAGAGCAACTCTTAACAGCGGCGACAAATGACTACCGCAACGGCAGCAAACTAGCAACGGTTGTTGCGACTTCACAACCGCACGCAAGAGAATTACACAACTGCAAGCAAGAGAAGCGAAAATATCAGCTAGCGGCTAACCTTCCAAACAGCCGCTCCCCTACCCTGCCTCCGCAACAAACTAATGATAGTCACCATCCTACTCATGAGAATCATGCCAGGTGTCGCTCTTTGCAGCTGTAGATTGTCTGGTGTCACCGAAGGTGATTAGTGAC